AGGCCCCGATGGTTGGATGTGGGAAGTGAATTGTGAGTGAATTCACTGGAAAAACAAGGCAGGCAAAGTGCCAGGATTCCGCAGGCAGGTTGTGGGGCTATCCCAGAGCTGGGGCTAAAAAAGCTGTGGAGACAAACCCCTGGGAGGCACCCCAAGTGAAAACTGCTGCTAAGGAAACAAAAGTTTCGAATTCAAACAAACAAAAAAAGCAGGATTTAGCAGTCACTGGCTCTATAGGGCAGGAGTAGGGCCAAGACATCAAGACATAAAGGAAGAAAATGGGTAAAAAAAAAAAAAAAAAGGGAGGGAATTACTAGGTGAATGGTGGGAGGCTGTTTCATAAGCACCAAGGCAAGGGGAAAAGGGGCAGGGGTTAGAGCAGGAACTTCTAAAAAGGTGTAAACCCCCCTGAGTGTGGGTGCCAGGGGGATTAGTTTTGCCCAAGATTCTAGGAAACCCTTGGATTTCCTCCTCTGACAATTGCTTCAGTGTCCTGGGACAATGACGAAGGAAGTGGCGCAAAGGATATGCAATAAGGCTATAAAGAACTTACTGAGCCTCTTTGCCCAGACATCCAGGGTCACTCACTCAAGGGGAGGGGAGTGAATTCGGCTGAGTAATTGAAATGGCCCTGCCCACTGATTAGGTGCTTGACAGCATCTGGTCTTTTTAGTAGGTAAAATAATATGTAGCTACTTAAGGATATTTGAGTTGGTTTGGGGTCTTTTTTTTAATAATAAAAAAAAAGCATATACAATTATGCTTGTGTATACCACAACACAACTCCTAGCTGTTGTTGGCAGAATTGGACCCTTGGGTATAGAATCGGCTTCAACAAAATCATGTTTCCAGGATTTCAGCTTAGAAACAGTACCCAGGAAGGCGATTTTAAAGCTGGCTAGTGATGTTCTTGTGTGAGAGCTGGGTGTTTAGCCTAATGGTAAGGTGTATTACTCCAGAATTCCATGCCTGGCTCCACTGCAGTGGCTGGATTTCTGCCACCCATGCGGGGGACCTGGATTAAGCTCCTAGCTGCTAGGCCCAGTCAGGGGATTACAGTGGACATCTCAAAAATAAACCAAGTAAAACTCTTCTTAAAATAAAAAAGAGAAGGTTAAGGCAATTTTGAACATCATGTATAATTAGGAATCACTAAGCAAGCCAAATAGTGACCAGGCTCTACATGTACTGTGAGTTCACTGATATGCTCAATCCATCTTGATTTATATCTAAAACTACCTCAGCCACTATCAGAAGTCAAGATTCCCCAAGTCATTCATCATAAGAATGTTCATTCCTATGCCATTCTGTAAATCTAATCTAAGTCAACCTCCCACACCTCTGTTCTTGAAATTCCCACTGGACCCCAAGAAAGCAGCAAATATTAGAAAGACTGTTGTATCCCACCACCTGGGTCAAACAGTGTGACCAAAAGCAGTCCTTACAATTTTAGTTGGTCCATGAACTGAATTTACATTTGTTGAACATCTATCTACCTGCCAAATTATTTCACTCTAACATCTCAGCTTCTAAATAAATGCCATCCAGTCGGTTGATGAGCTCCAAACCTTAGGTTTTATCCTTTGTAACTTTCTGTTACTCCTATATATGAGGTCTTTTCAAAGTTCCTGAAAAAAAAAATCCTACTATGGAAAAATTTATGCATGCATTTTAATTTTTCTTTACCAAAACAAATTTACCTTTTGTATTAGCTTTTTTTTTTTTATCTTAAGAAAAAACATAGCTAAGACAAATACTTTTGGGGAGAGTTCTCTTTTGGCTCATGGTTTTACACATCGGTAGTTCTAGATTTGGCAAGCTCCAGTGGGTTAGCATCCAGTGAGGGCAGATGGCAAACGAGAAAGAAGGATCACGTGGTGAGTCAGCAAACAGAATGACTGAATCCAACTCAGGTGTTTACATTAGCACTCTCACAGAAATGCCTTTCCTGGAGCATATCCTCACTAAACACCATCACTAGACTGAACTTTTTTTAAAAGATTTATTTATTTTTATTTGAAAGGCAGATGTACAGAGAGGAGGAGAGACAGAAAGGAAGATCCTCCGTCTGATGATTCACTCCCCAAGTGGCTGCAATGGCCAGAGCTGAACCAATCCAAAGCCAGGAGCCTGGACCTTCCTCAGGTCTCCCACACGGGTGCAGGGTCCCAAGGCTTTGGGCTGTCCTCCACTGCCTTCCAAGGCCACAAGCAGGGAGCTGGATGGGAAGTGGAGCTGCCGGGATTAGAACCGGTGCCCATATGGGATCCCAGCGGCATTCAAGGCGAGGACCTTAACCACTACGCTATCGTGCCGAGCCCATGGACTGAATTTCTACCTTTTTTTTTTTTTTACCACCAACTTATGATTTTCTGGGGTATAAATATGAGCCTGAGTTTTGGGAAAAAATCTTCCAAACATACCATGTTCTGAATTAAAATTTTTACAAGACTTTATTTATTTTGAAAGTCAGAATTACAGAGAGTTCTTCCATGTGCTGATTTATTCCCCTCAAATGGTTTCAATGGCTACAGGGGCTGGGCCAGGCCGATTCCAGGATCCAGGAGCTCCATCCAGATCTCCCAAATGGGTGGCAGGGGCCCAAACACTTGGACCAGGAAGCTGAATTGGAAATGAAGCAGCAGCAGGGACACAAACCAGCACCAATATGGGATGCTGGCAACACAGACAGGTGCTTTACTTGCTGTGCCACAATGTCTACTCCCTTCTTAATTCTATTTTTTCACAAACTTTTTAGAGCATCTCATATTAGCAGTTTAGCCAGCTTAGTTTCATGTTCATATTCTGAAACATACCATTTTACAACGTCTATGCTTCCACTTCACTATCCAACAAATCTTCCTCTTCTCTCACCTACATCACTGCAGTAGTGTTTCATCCCAGCTTCTTTCCTGGACCCTTCAGGTCATCAGAGTGATCTTTCAGAACTCCCCCATCCATGAGGAAATCCAGGCTCCTTGGCTTGCTCCCAATCCTAGCATCGTTCACAATGGAGCTTCCATGGCTCCTTCTCCCCAGGGCAGCTCTGCAGTCACTGCTTTATTGTGTCTTTGGTGCTCATGTGGTGTCTGGCATGCCTTTAAAAAACATTTATTTTTATTAAAAAGGCAGATCAGATTCATGGAGAGAAGGAGAAACAGAGAGAATGAGCTTCCATCTGCTGGTTCACTCCTCAAATAGTTTCAATGGCTAGAGCTTCCATCCACTGGTTCACTTCCAAAGCACCCACAGTGGCGAAACTGAGCTGATCCAGAGCCAGAAGCCAGGAGTTTCTTCTGGGTCTTCAAATGGGTCACATGGGTGCAGAGTCCTAAGGTTTTGGACTGTCCTCTACTACTTTTCCAGGCCACAAGCAGGGAGCTGGACAGAAAGTGGAACAGCCGAAATACAAACTGGTGCCCACATGGGATGCTGACACATGCAAGGTGTATATTTAGCACTTGAGCCATCATACCACTTGGCCTTGCCAGATCTTTTATGTCTGTTTTTTAAATAATCAACATCTTGAGAATGGGGACTCCTCCAAGTTCATGCTATGTCCCAATAGTCTATCATAGAGACTGGCACAGAGAAAGGACCCAAAAATACTTTAAAAAATGATCAAGAAAGATTAAAAAAAACTTCTGTGTGTGTGTGTGTGTGTGTGTGTGTGTGTGTGTGTGTGTGTGTGTGTGTGTGACAGAGACAGAGAGAGAGAGAGAGAGAGAGAGAGACTGCGAGAGACTGAGATTTTCAATCTACCTGGCCAGGGTTAATCCAAGCTCAACCCTGGACATCTGTCCAGATATTCCTCATGTGTATCAGGGGCCTAAAAACTACTTCTGGTTGACTAAAAAGGAACTGAAAATTAAGGTACTTGCCTAAATACTTGGATTATTGGTCTTAAGCAAGATTTTAGAATAATTGTATGATCACACCTGTAGGCTTGCTGACAGATCTAAAATATTGTAATGCTCTCCATCCTATCTCATAATGAAATGGTTCCTGCCATTTCACTGACTACTTTCCTCCCTGTGAAGATGACCTGAGCACATAGACTTTGGATTTCTTCATTTGCAGCCTCCTCATCTCCCCTCTGTCTCATGCTGAGTGACTTGTCATTCCTGAAACACTTCTGCCAGGAGCGCCTTTATCTCCACTGTGTGGATAAAGACTTGACCAAGCTCACAGCTAATTGCTTTTACCATTCACTAACCTCATTTATTTGCAGAAGATATCTAGGTAAATCTCCATGAATGTTGTTTTTGAATAAAAATAAACTTGCATGAGGCTGAAAGCAGTATGTTTTATGTACAATATGTATATACAGAAATTTATGAAGATCAAATTCCTTACTGAATTATGATAAATTTTACAGAAGACTGAAAATATGCTTATTAAAAATTATAGATGTTTATAATACACTAAGGAACAAAATCAGTTTTTTGGCTAAATTAACTAGCTGAATCCATTGCTTTGAGTTCAGAGCGCAGAGCCATATATACTATAGAATTTTGATTTCCCATTAAGAGTTGAGTAAGGCACTATGACAGATGGAAGCAGTGACATAATTTGTATATTATTACTTAGATAGGTAATAAATAATGCTAAATAAGTTCTGAAGTTTCACTATAATGTTCTCTAGGCTAGTGCTATAGAATAATACTAATTACAACAAAAAAGGGCTTTGAGAGGAAGTACACATATTCAAAATGCTTTAAAAGATCACGAACGCTCCATGGAACTCTTTTTTTGTTGTTGTTGTTTTAAATATTTATTTCTTTATTTGAAAGTTGGAAATATAGAGAAAATAAGAGACAGTGGGAGAGACAGAGAGGTCTTCCATCTGTTGGTTCACTCTGCAGATGTCTTCAACAGCTGATGCTAGGCCAGGCCAAAGCCAGGATACAGGAGTTTCTTCCAGGTCCCCAAAATGGGTTCACGTATCCAAGTCCTTGGACTGTTCTCCATGGATTTTCCCAGGATGTCAGCATGGAGCTGGAGCAGAGGTGAAACAGCCGGGACACATCCTGGTGTCCTCATGAGATGCTGGCATCACACATGACAGTTACATCCAGTATACTACAATTCTGGCCTGAGAGTTCCATTTTGTTAAGCAGGAATATAAAAAGTTTTGTAATTTGGCTGATTGGATGAAATAAAACACTAGAATGCCAAGTCTCTGTTCCTATGAGAACATCTTTCCTTCTTCATTTTTTCCAATTTACTGCAGTGTGGACACTGGCTCGAACCTACCTATCATGTGTTTCTTCTATACGAAGACCATGTTTCTCACTATCACAACACTGGAATATATTTCTGCGCAGACACTGGGGAAAAGCCAGAATAAAAATGTTTGTCTCAAGGCCATGATTGTCCAGATGAATAGAAAGTAAGTTTTTCCCAGACACTGTCTTATTTCAATCTCTCACCTCTTTTGGAGCTGTTATCACAGCTTTTAGAACACAACATTAATATGCTCTTTCTGAAGAGAAGTAATCCGGGTCTTTCTGAACACTCTTCAAACTAATATACATTTGAGCCCTGCAAGAATGGTGTACTTCCTTTTATTAATAACTCTCTCCTATCACCAAACATAATAATCTTCATCGCTCACGCAGGATGCAGTTGACACCTTCATAAGGTATCTGTTTCTCACTGAAAGTAATATCTGCTTTCCACATCATTGAAAATATTTACATAATCCCCAAGTGCCTCAATGCATAAATGAAAATTGTTTTCATTTCCCATTTACATGGAGTAGTCCACCAAGTGCAATGCCAGCTTACTGTGCTTCATTTTCTCTGTGAATAGTTCATCAAATGCTTTCTTCTGTCTTGGAGTGAAGTAGTTTATCCAATCACCCACCACTCCTGGAAGAATTGGAAACGCATTAGATAAGAACCAATTTAAATGTATAGCCATCACAAAAGAAAACTGCCAGCTTTACACTAAAATGTGAACATTTGGTATCTCCTGGTGATAAGATAATGGAGGGATTAAGATTCATTTGCTTACCTGTTGCCTCAATTTCTTCTAAAGAGTGGTATATTGATTTGTGTAGGTTTTTTTTTTTTTTAATTTTCAATTTTAACTTCTTTTTCTTGAAAGAGAGAGACAGAGCTCCCATGCACTCATCACTGCAGGGGCTGGGCTGGGGCTGGGCTGGGCTGGGGCTGGGCTGGGCTGGGCTGAGGCGGTAGTCAGGAGCTGGGAATTCAGTGCACGTCTCCCAGGTGGGTGGCAGAAACTCAATTACTTGAGCCATCACCACAGCTTGACAGGCTCTGAATTAAAAAGAAGCTGAAGCCAGGAGCCAGAACTGGGTATCAAGCCTAGGTAATCCAAGAGACGATTGGGCAGTGTGACTCAACTGCTTGTCCAAATGCCTACCCCTAGAAAATTTAAAAAACTGTTTCCTAAAAAGAAGGAAAGCATTGGGGCCGGCACATTAGCCTAGTGGCTAAAGTCCTCGCCTTGCATGTGCTGGGATCCCATATGGGTGCCAGTTCATGTCTTGGCTGCTCTACTTCCTGTCCAGCTCGTTGCTTGTGGCCTAGGGAAGCAGTGGAGGATGGCCCAGGGCCTTGGGACCCTGCACCTGTGTGGGAGACCCGGAAGAGGCTCTTGGCTTTGGATCGGCACAGTTCTGGCCATACAGGCCACTTGGGAAGTGAAGCAGTGGATAGAGATCTTTCTCTCTGTATCTCGTTCTCTAAATCTGACTTTCCAGTGAAAAGAAATAAATCTTTTTTTTTTTAAAGAAAAGCATAAAAATGTGTAAACGTGATAGATTTTACTATAGAAAGCAAAGAGGTTTCAAAGCTAATGTTAATAAGAACATAAAACAGACCAGTGTGGACATTATCTGCTTTCCTCTCTCGCCACCTTAGCAGCTGCAGCTGTATTGAAGAGTTACCACAGGATGGTTATTATATAAAACTAATAGCAGACAATGGAAGGCAAACACCACTTGTGTGACATCCTCGCCTTGAATACGCAGTCTTCACACATAGTCCCTGAGCCCTTCCTGAGCAGGCAAATCCCCTTTGTCAGTCCTGGCCACCAGACCAATTGGACAGGCCCGTCCTTGTCACCTCCACTGGACACACTGTGCCAAGTCTCAACTCTGGCTCTTGTTCATCAAGAGAAAGTATCTTGGGACAAACATAGATAAAAATACAACATACCAAAATGTATGAGACACAGCAACTGCAGTACCAAGAGGGCATTTTAGAGGGAGAAATGCTTGCATTTTACAGAAAGAATGATCTCAAATAAAGAGCCTGATCTTACCGCTCAAGTATTTAGTAGAAGAAAGAAAAAATCAAATCCAAGTGGATAGAAGGAAGAAAGCAATAAAGACTAAAGCAGGAATAAGCAAGATAGAGAACAGGAAACAAGAGGGAAAAATCAATAGTACTTACAGCTCATGTGTTCAAAACAATAAGGAAACTGACAACTATGTCAGCTAGACTGAAGAAAAGGCTCAGATAATTAAGACTGATTGGACTCAACTCTTGCTTTGACCATGTGCTAGGGGTGTGACTTTGGATAAATTACTCAGGGGTTTAGTGTCTCAGAAATACATGGCAAGCCAGTCTACTGTCAAATTTCAGCGAGATAAGCAAGGCATGCACCTGGCCCGTAGTAAGCACTCAGGAAATGTTACCAATGTTTATGTAATTTTCTTTCATTCTCAGGACTCCAGTAATGGGCTTTCTCCCTCCTCCATTCCTCTCCCCACTCTCCCCTGCATTTTACAATAATATAATTCTTTAGCTGTGGTCTCGGTTCCAGCATTCTTTACATGTGTCATGATATTGTAGATATAATCAACAGTAGAGAGTCTGGTACTTTGCTGTCATTATATATTTAACAGTTGTATCGGGGCCTGTTTCTATTTGGAAGTAAAGACGCATACTGCAGTTTTTCTTTGACTCTTGGTACTCCATCATACTGCTCGTTTATGAGATTACAAGTGTATACTTCTTTACCTATACCTCTTTTTATTTTATGTTTTGGATGAAGGTTGTCTTATATCAGAAAGAACATATGCTATTTGTCCTTTTGGGATTGGCTTATTTCACTGAGCATAATGGTCTCCAGTTGGGACCACTTTATTGCAAGTGGTAGAGTTTCATTCTTTTTAATCGCTGAATAGTATTCCATAGAGTAGATGTACCAAAGTATTTTTATCCAATCCTCTCTCAGTGGGTATCCAGGTTGTTTCCATGTCTTTGCTGCTGTTGATCATGTTGTAATGAATATAGGGATGCAGGTTGCTTTCTCATATATAGACATCACTTCTTTTGGATAGAGTCCCAGAAGTGGGATAGCTGGGTCATGTGGTAGATGAGTGTCCAGTTGTCTGAGTACTCTTCTTGCTGACTTTCTCAGTGGCTGCAGAAGACTACAATCCCACCGTCTTGGTTTTAACTGTCACAAATAATATTGTGACATGAATCCTGTCCATTTTTCCACACTCCTATAGTTCTCCCCCCAATTTTTAACACCGTTGGACCCATAATCTTCTCATTTGTCACCTTATCTCTGTGTCCACCGTTGTCTTTACTAAAAGATTAGCTCTATTTTTGACTTCAAAGTAAAGGCAAACATAAACTCCGTGTAAAGACAAATCTCTCTGTATGCCAATGAGTCAGAATCGGTGACTCTGAAATATTTATTTTCAGGGGCTGGATTTCCACCCTCACCTCCTCCACTCAATGGAAGTGGACACATGAACATCAAAGGTGAAAGGAGGAAAAAATGCAACGCTTTGTGAAACTCTTAAATATCCATCAAACAAATTTGAATAAATTATTTACTACTGCAGTATTAATGATTTTGTGACTATTTTTAGGATGTGCATTATATGAGTGAAATTGAACATCTTTTCACTGCATTATTGTTGATAGCCCTCATTTATTTTCCCCCTGAACTAGGGTCTGCTTAGTTTTTAATTTGTTGACCTCTTAGTACAGCCATTAAGCATTTGAATATAGTGAACTGAAAATATTTAGTCTCAAAAAAAAAATTTTTTTTTTTAAAAAAGTGGCAAGATAGAACTACAGTTGTCCCTAAGTATTGACAGGAGGTTGATTCCAGAATGTCCAAGTATACTAACCTCTGCAGATGCTCTAGTACCTCATAGAAAAATAATGCCACCATGTTGGCATATACATGCGGCCTTCTCTGCTCCCTGCTGAGTTCATCTTTGGACCATTTACTGCACCTGATACAGTGTAAATGCTCTGTAAATACCTGTTATACTGTATGGTTTAGGCAGCAATGACAGGAAAAAAAGCCTACTTGCTCAGTGCGGAGTCAAGTTTACCTACATATTTTTGCCCTGCAGTTGGTTGGGTTCACACCTACAGAACTTGTACATAGAAGGAACTGACTGTGCTCCCCCATATACACCCCAGGCCCAGAACGCTGCACCTCTCTGGCTTACCTTTCCGGAAGACCAGGCTCCGGTTGGATGTGAGTGCACAGATGGTGTGACTGGTGTCACACTTTTCTTTGACTGCGTTAGTTTTCATTTTATTGAAAGATACTTTCTCGACAATCTTGCTGATGTCACTGTCACTCAAGTTGGTATCGAGGAAAGTAGTGATTTTCTTTATGTTTTCAGAGAGATCCTGAAGCAAGCAAATTTAAAGAAAAAGTGCTTTTATCAAACAACACATTTGCTCAAAATATCAAAGTATAATTTGCTGATTGCTTGTTTTACTTAATTTGATTTAAATTTTGATTGTTAAACAACAAAGAGGACTTACTTTCTTCATTTCTTCATAGAATATAATTAGAACATTTTTGTCATTTTTGTGTTCTTCCCAGCTTAAAACATGATCAAACCAGGATCCATACACAACTGGAGGAAAAGTGAATTGTTGAGTGATTGGCAAACACTGTGACCATTGTACCTGGATTTTTCCCATTAAGGTGAAGAAGACAACTTGAAGCATACTCTGCAGATGCTGGATTACAACCCAATCACTTTGATACTTGGAAGAGTTTCTATGACAGAGTCAGCAGTTCCTAGAAATCCCATGCTGCTTCTGTAGCTTACACAACTTTAATTACCCAAATAACTATGTGAGTGATAAGGGGATGATGGGTTCATGTTCTCTTCCTAGAATGAACAACCACTTTCTAGATGCAAGCACTTGTGGAAGACTGATTGCCCCATGCTGGTATCCTGCTTCTCCATCCCACACTAAGCAATAAGAGCCCAGTCCTGGATTGTGTCAGAATGGACTTTCAGATGTTGTAGGTGTTGCTGGGTCCTAGCCAGGGGTCAAGGCAGAGATGGAGATCCAGTGTCACAACCATGGTCAGAGGTAATTGATCTTGCATGTCATGCTTTCAGGAGAAAATATATTGCAACATGTGTCAGAATGGATCAAAGAATGAAAGCAGAGTCTGGTCATAATTTGAGAGTCCGCTGTTCTATTAACCACTAACTACTTTATATCTCTCACCTTGTTGTAAAATTAAGTAAGCCTGCCCGAAGAACTTGATGAAATGGACTGCCTGTGCCTTCCTGCTGATATGGGAAAGTGGATTAATGCGATACTTGAAAGGTGTTTTGAAACAGCATTTGTAACAGACATTTTTAAATCCAGATCCTCAATGTCCAGGTTATCAGTAGATGTGTAAACTTAAGGGACCTGGAGCTTCCACCCTCACCACCTCTGGTTTGATATGCCCGCATAGCTCTTTCTCTGCTTCTCTAAATTACTCCTCTGAGTGCCCCCCAAAATAAGAGGCTCTCTTCATCCAAGCAGTGTGTCTCAGGGGTCTGGAGATGAATCACTATTCCCTAGAAATGCTTAGAGTCTTTCTGTTGGAATCCATGTTTCTCTGAGCTTCATGTTCTTGGAATCCACTTCCTCTTTTATTTATTTATTTATTTATTTTTCGTCTCAGACATCAGATCCAATCGTCAGTCACCTACAGACTCAGTGAGGTCACCACCTTCGGTGTCATCTCACAGTTTGCCATCAGCTGTGGTGGCTTCCATGGAAGGCTTCCAGAATATCCTTCTCTGACCATTTTTGTCCCCATCTTTCACTTTCTTCCCCTTGCTCATTTCTGCAATCATTTTCTTGCCAATATCTTCTACCTACTTGCCTCCTAATTGTTTATTTCAATCAAGTGAAAAAATAAAGCCACTCAGTATTGGGTCAAAACACCTCACCTTCTTGTCTTCTCTCCTATTGCTGATGGAGAAACTTCCATGTCTGAAGTTACATCTCTGCAAATTCATTTTTCTAATTTTAAGGGCCCCAAGTCTCACTATTAAGTCTATTTGTCCTACATGAACATGTCCTATTCTTCATAAAGCCTACTCCAAGCCTTCTCTACTTTATATAAACCTTTCTCCTGCTCTAATGAGTATTTTAGCATCTAGTTTCTAGGAAGCACTCAGAAGGCAGTTGTGTAGAAAAGCAAAGCTCTATGCAATGAAGTGGTCTAGGAAATAGAGTATTCATACAAGACTAAAGAGGGTTCTGTAGAAAGAAAGGAGTGTAGAATGAGAAGATATTAGTTCCTTTGATTTATTACTTTGTCCTGATATTACCAGTACATAATTTATAGTTACTGATTAATTTCAAAAGCAGATGTGTATTTATATATTCTCTGAAAGATAAATTATATGATTACATAAATGTCTAGCTTATCAGTCTCTTTGCCATATTGTCTCATTATGAAACTCATATCTATGGCAATAATTAGAGAGGGGTATAGGATTACCTTAGTTGTAACATGAGGTCTTGGATGTAAGACAATGCCTTAGTTGTTAAATAAATTACTTGGAATAATACTTAGGCGAAACTATTTAAACATTATGCTTATTATAGCATAGTATTTCTATAGCATATGTCAGCTATGATTTGATTTGACTTTCTGATCAAACGAATCCTACGAAGCAGATTACTTTGTTAGTCCTTGTTTGTACTAGGAGCACAGGTCCCAGAACGGCTGTTACTTGCACAACAATTACCGCTGGGATCTCAGGTCAGATCTTTTGTCTCCCCTGCCTGCTGTAACACACTATGTTCTCATTTGCAAGACACACCAACCCTTCCAAAAGTCTTCGAGGAACAAACCTGAAACATAGTCATACAGAGAAGGGAACTTCAAACAGTTCCTCAGTTGTGAAATTCATACACTGCTTTTCATAACATATCTTTGCCCTGATCTTTAGGGAGACTCCCTCAAAAAATACACACATGCACAGGACAATAATCTTATCCCACAACTAATAATACAGGAAGCTATATTTCCATCTGTATAGATTCTTAAATCCATCAATTTTTAATGGAAAAAGGATTTTTTAGGTTAGATGATTTATATGAAGAACACAGGTAAAATCCTTTTCCAACTAAAATCCTACTCATTTGCTGAATATGGTGTAGAATAATCACCTTAATTTTTTTTTTCAAATCATACACTACTTTCCTACCCCCAGATACTCAGCTATGATTTGTAACGATATGTTTGCAACAGTTGTTCCACAAAGACCAGTTGACTTCACTACACTGTGGTCTGGGCTGGCAGTTTAAAAAATTAATGTACTAACTCAGTATATTTTTAAGATATTTTAGTACATTAAAATTAATATATTAATTTGAGCAACAGAGATGGTAGGGGCGTGGGACAGAGAGAGCTCCTATGCTCTGGTTCATGGCTCAAATGCCTGAAACAGCCACGGCTGGATCAGAGCCAATGCCACGAGCAGGGAACCCAATGCAGGGCTCCTACATGTAAGACAGAAACACTGCTCGAGCCATCACTGCTGTCCTGCAGAGTGTGGGTTGGCAAAGTTTGAATCAGGAACCAGAGCCAGAACCCAAGCCGAGGTACTCCACTGTGGTACATGGACATCGTAATTGTTGGGCTAAAATCCTGCCCTGGGCTGACATCTTCATGGCTGTGTTCATAGAAAAATAATCTCAGAACAGAAGCAATGCCAGTCCTGCTGCAGCCTTCCCTCATTAGAGCACGCTGAGCTGTGCTTTGCCTTCTAGGCATTGCACAGTAATGCGGATGTGCAAGATAAAAGCTTGTATGGCAGAGAGGGCTGGAGACCCACGGTGTGGAATAACGGAAGACAAAAACAGCATTTCTTGTCTTGAGGTAAAGCAGACTTCAGGTCTGTTCTAAAAAAACAATTAATGTATTTAAACTCTGCAGAATCCAAAAATGGAATTGAGGTGGAAGGAAGCATGCTAGCTATCTGCAAATATTTAGAAGGCAATCATGGGAAAGTGGAATTAATGATCAGAAGGCCCTTTTGTTTTTTCGATAGGTAATGGCACAGAAGTAGTGGCAAAGGTTTCGGAGCTGACAGCTGATTTTAAATCCTTGATCTGCTCCTAATTGGTGATGCCTCGGTGGACAAGGTATCTGCCCTCCAAAGGTTTGCATCTTCACTCTTCTCAGCTATGAAATCAGGACAATAACATGGACTTCATGGTACACTGCTGAGGATGAAATAAAGTAATTTTTGCATTAGCGCTTAGCTATGTATTTACTGCACAGTAAAATTTTTGTTTGTTTGTTTTTTTTTTAAAAAAAACTTGCATGTTCCAAGACAGAATATACTGCTTTGCGGGGTTGGTGAACCTGCTGCAAGGGCTGATGTTCAAAGTCGGCATACACAGCCCTGGGTGAGTGTTGGAAGGGTGATTCACTCAATGGATGTGTGGCCAGATAAATATTAAAATATCATTCCTGAAGCGTTATGATTCTAACTAAATGTATACAATTAGTGAAGGAGGAAAGTATATCACAAGAAATTAAAAGGGTAGGAGTCCAACATCTATTAAAGAGAGTAAAGCAAACTATAAAGCTATTGTCTGTGAGTTGCCAGTGTCTTCATGGCAACAGCCTACACCTGCTGCTATTTCTCGACTGTTACCAAATTTCACAATTTATAAGCAAGGTAGCAGAGTGGGCAGTGAAGAAGTTCTACCCTAGGCCCAGTTAGAGAAAACTTGTCTGTGCACTCACTATCGTCCATGCATATCTCTTCTCAATTCTGTATTGTCTCAGTCTAATATTTTTGGTTTACTGAAAGTTTCAGGAATTGAGAATAGTTCCCTTTTTATGCTTTTAACATCTTCTGAGTCCTGGGGAGAGGGGTAAACTCTAAGTTTATGGCTGGCAGCAAGACCAGCATGTCCTTGCACAGCCCAGTTAAATCATGTTTCAGTGTGCGGTTTTCAGGATACTTTGCTAATTTTGATGTCACTGATTATTTCAAAATTTAATTGGGGAACCTGTTTTTGTCTTTTCTATTGGCTTATTTGAATTGAGTCATTTCTCAGGCAGGTATATACAAGGGTGAGGCTTGCTTCAGGATACCCGTTTAGAAGTCTGCTTTTTCTCTCAGCACTCTAATCAGTGCATACTTATTGGAAAGATTCAAAGTATTAAAAAAAAACAACCCAACAGCATTCATATACAGAATTCACCTCTGCTTGGAAAACCTCAAAGTCATTTCACTGAATAAGTCACTATTAGGGTGTACCCATCAGTGCTAGAACAGACTGTGAAGAAGCTAAAAGAGAAAGAATTTGATAAGAAACTAAAGAATGATCAAGTCAACGTATGTGTACTTCTGAAAACACAGAATTCATGGGAAATTTTTTGTAAATGCTTTCCTTTTGAGCTAGAAAGTTCACAGCACCTCACAAAGAACAATTCTTGTGATATTTACCATCTCCTTGTAGGAACAGTTCTAAAAATGCAGCCCAGGTTTCCACACTGGGAAGGCAGGGGTTATCTCTGTAGTAATGGAAGAGAGAGACAGCTGTATCTTTTGGATTCCTCACCACGTAGATCATCTGTTGAAAAAGATGGATGGAATTAACCCCAGTACTGCCACTCAGGAAGCTCAGTGGCCCAGCCCTGACTGATGTGCCATTTGAGGAGAGAAGCAGCAGATGGAATCTCTCTCTCTCTCTCTTTCTCTCCTACTCCCTACCTTTAAAATAAACAAATCATTTACAAATGTCCTAAAAGAAGCTAGCAGCTCAAATCACAAGATGTGCAAATCACAAGATTTTTTTTGGCTCCCATGGCTGAGTGAAGAGAACCTTGGGTCAGGGCCTCTTACAACTTAACACACATTGGGACCCCTAGGGAGATCTTGTAAGATGCTAACTTGGATTCAGGGGGTCCTGTAGATGCTGCCTGTCCACTTGACTACACGTCCCCTATTTACAGGTTAAATGCTTTCCTACCTTTTAGGAACAAACACAGGGGAAAATATCTACGTATATTTGCTATCTTTTTAAATATCTACATATTATATAACTTACTGACAAGTAGTCAGATTTCTTGCAATTTCCCTGCCCTTATTTAGCACTTACTGTATACCACAGTGTGTGCATTATTCTAGGGGGCATTTAAACATAATGACGGGCAAGATGAAAAGTTTCAGCTGTCTCAGGACTTGGTCAGCTGAGGGAGGCGGATGACCAGAGGAGCCCTTGCCAAGGCAGGGTTAAGGGGACTACGACAGGGGAAGCCGAAGTTCAGGAAGGACCGATGACTCACCTCAGAACAACAGTGTCAGAAACTGGATGGAGGGGGGTTATTTCTGACTGTGTCCGACACTGTATGAGTACAAGATATTCTTGCTTTCATTTAGAGAGGAGAGTTTGCTGAGTCGTTTTCAATCCACAGCTATCTTTCTGTTTAATGTTCATAGTCCATGTATGTGGGGTTAACATGTACTCCTAGAGATGACTAAAGGTCACTCTGGGCAGGCATGACAAGTCACTTTTACCCTGCCCCACCCCAGGACCCTTTCTTTATTCCAAGAGATAATCCGGACTAATTCAAGCTTCATTCTCAGAGCTTCTGAGAAGGTGCTATGGAACCCCAAGGAGCAGAGAACAGCTCTACTGTTTTTTTGTTTGTTTGTTTGTTTTTTTAACAATAAAAGGGGAACAAGGATTAAGAAAAAACATACAGAAGGCCAAGTTGGGCTGAGAGCTGGTCAAGAAAGACTAGGAGAAGGACTCACAGGCACTGCTGGGACAAAGCAGGTTGGTCTGGCTGCAGATGCCAGGAGCTGGGCCCTTGCTGATGACAGTGGCCAGGCCAATGGCTCAGGAGGCCCGTGTTGGCACAGGTCCTACAGTGACACACTGCAAGGGCAGCACCTAAAGGCTGTTCCTTATGTAGTAGCTAATGAACACCCTATGCTATCTGAGTAACACCCTAAGCTATCTGAGTTCTGGTCTCTGCTTATGAATAGAAAAATGCCTACCTTGGCCATTGCTGTGACGTATATAAGACATGTGGCTTACTAGCTGGTAGGTTCTCATGATCATCATCACAGAACAGCCCTTAATCAGGCTTGTCCACTTGCCAGACTCCTTTTCTCCACAAAATCCCTCCCTTCCCATCCTCCTTGCTTTTCTGTTCTCTCCTTTCTTTCTCTATCTTAGAAACCATTTGTCTGCAATGAAAATGACTAGTTGAGTGAAAGTGCAGTCAGGTTAATATGGCCTCCATCATGCTGACAGATTCGCTGTCTCGAATGGTTGCATTTGTTTTCGTTTGGACAGAAGCGTAGGTGGTGTGCATAGAGTGGTGTGGTCACAGAATTACAACCAATGCAAGGCAACTTTGGGTTGTGCACATTTGACTGGGGGGTTGTTTGTGTTTTGATGCTTAGTCTACAGCTAATGCTCTTAAGGAGACTTCAACACTGAGAACCGGTTCCAGCTATCCCAAGCAAATTGTATTTTGCCTTTGCTTTTCAATTATTACTCCCTTTTTTCCTCTTTTACACAAAAACGTTACCTCTAAAGGGTCTTAGAAACAGGTATTAAAAGATAAGTTAATTTTGGTGCAAACATTTTGTTTGACATGCATAGAGTTTTTTTTTTTCAAAATACACATTTCCATGAATTTTTGAAGACTCCTCTGTGCATGGATTTCAAAACATTTTGCACCAAAATAAACTTTTAATTATATTTTATACAAGCCTTTTGAAGTACCCTTGGGCATCTCCAAAGCCAATAAAATCTAACTTAATACAATATCATAAAACATCTGTTGACTAGGAATATTATGAGATCTGGTATCTTTAACAACTTTAAAAAAAATGTTTTTGATAGAAAGAGAGAGAGTCAGAGCCAGAGAGAGCTCTTCCATCTGCTGGTTCCCTTCACACAAGCCTGCAAAAAACCAGGCTGACAGAAGGAGCCCTTTACTCAGCCCAGGCCTTCCACGTGAGTGACAGGGAACCAAGCACTTGGACAGTCACCTGCTGTCCCCCAAACTGAACATTAGCAGGAAGCTGGAATTGGAAGTGGGCCGAGGACCCAAGCCCGTGTCCCAAGTGGCAGCTCAACTCGTGTACCAGATGCCATTTTTAAGCCCATGCCTTTGTACATGTAACTAAATAGAAAATACATATGGGTTTTTAAATGAGATCTCTACTTACCATTATTCCATAAACATTCCTCGATGAAGAATATTTCAGTAAGCAAAACAGAAAAGTAGAAAATATTCTTTTAAATTATAATTCAAATCTAAAATAACACATGTGCCATAAAAACACCCTCAGGAAGCTAGTTTTCAGTGTTTGTATTAAGATTTATATCTTAATTTTCTAATAAAAATGATAGCTGAAACAGTTAAATGGGGGTAGTCAAGAAGTTCATAAAAATGTATATTATGAAAAACTATGCATGGATATAATTTTCTGCATCAAAATAAACTTTTTAATTCTATTACTCAGCAAACTTTTTAAAGTACCCTAACATAGGTGGCATTTGTTATGCTACTAGCCAGCTGAGTGGCAGGGTAGGAATGCAAGCCCAGCTTTCCCAGACCCCCAAGCCTTGGCCCTTGGTCACAGAACCTACCTTGCATTGTTTTTGTTTGACATTCAAGGGTAGCAGGTTGTAGCTCAAGTGTGTTGGAATTACTCTTCTCTTAGAATACATTTTCAGTTCTTCAAGTTTGGAAATGTCTCCCAGTTCGATGGGAGATGTTAGAGTAATTTTGGCACTGGGAATGTTCTCGATGATTTCTGCAACCCAGTGAGTACCTTTACGGTAAAATAAAATGAAACACAATTTTAATTAATTGTCACTCTTGGTGAAATGAATATAGAAAATTACCATGCTGTAAAAGCAATGAAAGCATTAATTTAATCGCAAATGTTTATTACATCCTGACACCCCTTGAAACCTGTTGGAATACCTGAGATGCTAATTCATTTGACAGGTGGAATCATATTTTAAAGAACTGAAGGGGTAGGACTATAACATACTGTTTGCTCAGCTTGAAACTCTCTTCTCTGCCCCATTCATCCCAGGCTCTTCTCTAATTCGCAAGTTCATGGAGACCTTTCCAGACACCATCCCCGTCGGTCCTCAGACTTGGTGTATCTCTGGGGACCACCCAGGTGGAGTGGTCAATCTTCTCTAACCTTCCCAGAGTCCCGGCTCCTACCTTTGTTGGAGCACAAGCCAGAGCATGGCTGCCATCACCTGTGCTTCTGTCCATCTCTCCATTTCCCCTTAAAGACAGACAGTGAATCCTATTTTTGTTTGTGTGCAGATATACGTAGTAGTTATGCAAGAGGTATTTGAACACTGAGTGTATTCTGTTTCCAAACATCCTAGAGACACAAACCTGTTACCATGGAATCTGGAATACAGTTTATGTTTACAGAAAACAAATGGGGGCTATGTTCCCATGTTGTAGACAATAGCAAATTAGAGCAAAGAAAGAGAAATGTGCAAGGAATTGGGGGATGTTTTGGCTAATTTGGAAGCAATGTCCTCCCAAAGAATTTAAATGAAGCCTAGTCTCCATTTGCTTCATATTTGAATAAATATAACAACTTCACATTTGAATAAATATTTAAATAGCACTCTCATTTGCATTGTAAGATGGACTTAGATTATAGTGCTCATGCCCTAAATAGTGCAATTATACTCCATACCAATGTGACTCACAGAATGGTGATTTTTGTATTTTTACTGCATTTTAACATTTTAATTAACTATTTAATATTTTAATAATCGTGACAAAGATGAATAGACTTCCATCAGTTGGTTTATTCCTCATGTACCTGCAGCAGCCAAGACTGGGTCAGGTGGAAGTGAGGAGCCTGGAACTCAGTCTGGGTCTCCCGTGTGTTTGGGAGGGACTCCAATGCTTGAGGCATCACCTGCTGCTCCCCAGGGAGTGCCTTAACAGGAGCTGGCATCAGAAGCTACGATGAGACTCAAGCACAAGCACTGTAATATTGGGTGTGGGTGTCCCAAGCACAGCGTCTCAACTTTTGTGCCAAAACCTGCCCGCTCCCCATTGCTTTAATAAAATACACTGACTTCTTTTGATGAAGTAGAGAGAATATACAGGGATTGTTGTACCTCAAGGGGATCCTCTCTGGCAGCTGGTGTTTGTTAGCTGACAGGGGCTATCAACATACAGGCACCAAGTAGAGTGAAAGCTTCTGTCTAGTCATTTATATACGGAATGAGTATTCAAAATCATTTAAAATATCATAAATTGGCACGAACATTTGGCACGGACTAGGGATGCCCACATTGCAGCATACTGGATTCAAGTACCAGTCTGCCCTTGATTATAGATTTCCAGAAATGTGTACCCTACGAAGCAGTAGGTGATGTCTCAAATACTCAGACCCCTACCACCCCCATGGGAGACCCAGACTGGCATATGAGTCCTTGGGTTCCCTGAGCCCTGGCAGCGGATATTTACAGAGTGACCAGCAGACAGGAGATGGCCATCTGTCCCTGTCTGTTTCTTTCTGTCTCTTTGCCTTTTAATAAGTAAAAAAAAAAAGTACACAAAAATGTTTAATGTATCATAAATTATTTAAACACATTAATTTTAAGATGAGATATAATTATCCATAACTTACAACATCTCATTTTGCCCTGGGGTATTCTGTGGGCAATCATTTAGTTTCCCTTTGCAGCAATATTTTCCAAAATCTAAAATATATCTGGTTTATTTATCCACTAAGATATCCCTCGGGGTTCTGGCTTTATGTGAACTCAGCTTCTTCCCAGAGGGAGAGCCCTTGGATCTCAGATAGGAGGGTTTGCAACGCACATCAGCTCAGGGGAATTCTTGCTGAATTCATACTAGCTAAAGAGGTAGCTGACGTCCGCATAGAGCTACAATTCTGGAAATGGCAACAGACAATTTGGATGTGAAATACCCTGGTCTCCACTCAAAAGAGAAACGGCTGTCTGATGTCCAGTGGCTTAAGTTGCAGCTTGTTAAACTGGCATCTGATATCAGAGAGTAAATGCTCTGTGTCCAACCCACTTGCCTGCTAATGCTCCCGGGAAGGCAGAGATGGCCCAGTCACTTGACCCTCTGCTCTTGGCTCGGGCCTGGCTGCTGTGGCCATGTGTGGAGTGAACCAGCAGATGAAATATACCATTGGGCCATCTGTGTCATTGTGCTTTTCAAAGAAATGAATCTTTTTAAACAGAAGAAAATACTATATCTATATAAAACTAATTTTAATGATCTACAGGATTATCTTACAACAGTTGTCTTTTCATAGGTATATGCCTATTTGTTGGAATAATAAAAATATTATTGATAATATTATTGATGATAAAAATATTAGGTTCCTATTAAAACATAAGAAAAAAATCACATGTACCTCAATCTTTACATATGAAGTAAGAGACAATATGTAATTTCACTCTGCCTGGTACAAAGCATGATGAGAACTTTACGATGCTATAGATATCATAGCTATTTCATATATCATATGTAACTCTTCAGGAATAAATTAGAAACAAGAGATGTAGAAAAATTATGGGAGATAAATGTTTGCCAAAAATTATTATTTTTCTGATTACACTTCTCTATTAAAAAAGGAACTTACCAGATTTGGGATAGGAAACCAGAAACACATCATCTTCTCTTGCATCAAAAGTGTCCAGGGAACGGAGGAGTTCTTCTGAAGATGTGGTGGAAAAGAGCATCCCCTGGAATGCATGGAGCGCGTTTGCCTGGCTCAGTGATGACATCGCTCCTCAGCTCCAGCACAGATGATGCTCCAAACACTGGGCCGAGGAATACGGCAGACACGGCAGCTGATCTCACTCCACGCTCTGTAGCAAAGAAACCTTACAATTACTCAACCAGCTTGCTGATGGGGGGGGGGGGGACGGACATAGGTATGCTTCCGCAATTCTTCACAAGTGTAAATTTTAAACTAGATCTGAACCAAAGTCTATTTTTTAAATGTTTTTTTTTTTTTTTAGGTGGAACATGAAGGTATGGGGTAAAAGCCCTCACCCCCAATTTTTAATCAAGCACATTCCAGTAACAAGTATTAAAATCGGTTTCTAAACCATTTATAGGTGTCATTATCTTCAACTATTAGTACTACTTCCATTATGTGAATATCTAGACTATTTTTACTAACAGACAGTCCTTTTAATATTTTACCCAGTTAAGTACTGTCAATATATATAATTCCAATATAGATAATATATTTTAGTGTGGCTTCAACAATTTTAATTATAAATGGTCAGGTTTATTATGTCATGAATTTCTTTTTGTAAGTAGACCTCCAGTTAAACAGTTATGAAAGAGGTAGATGTTAGTGAACTTGAAATGTTAAATTTTTTTTTTTTTTTTTTTATTGTTCCTTACATTGTATTATGTAGTACAGTTTTATAGGCGCTGGGGATCCCCCCCACCCCTCCCATACCCCTCCCCCCATGGTGGATTCCTCCACCTTGTTGCATAACCATAGTTCAAGTTCAGTTGAGATTCATTGCTTGCAAACACATGCCTAGCATAAAGTTCAGCGTCTTATTGTCCAGATAAGTTCAGTGGCCTCTTGGGGAGACCTTCTATGGTCTGAAGATAGGTCTAACAGAGTAAAGATCCGGTCAGTTAAAAGCCCCAACAAGGCCTCAGTATCAATATACAACATTATGGAATTAATTGACATAGTAATGGGTAGACAATATGTTAAAAATAATGCAAGTTCCATTCTTCGAAACATCTGGGTTGAGACAGTATCAATGACAGGTTCAAAAAATAACCAACAATCAAACAAAAAATTACAGGTTAAATCAAGGCAAACATGTGGTATCTAATCTTTTGGGATTCACTCATTTCCCTTAGCATTATAGTTTCCAGTTGTGCCCATTTAGCCACAAAGGACTGCATTTTGTTTTTTTTAATAGCTGAGTAGTATTCCATGGAGTAGATGAACCAAAGCTTTCTTATCCAATCTTCTGCTGATGGGCATTTCGGTTGCTTCCATGTTTTTGCAATTACTGATTGTGCTGCAATGAACATAGGGATGCATGTTGGTTTGTCGTAAAACAGGTGTTTTGGATATATTCCTAGGAGTGCTATTGCTGGGTCATATGGTATGCAGATTTTGAGTTGTTTGAGTGTTCTCCAGACTGATTTCCATAAAGGCTGTACCAATTTGCAGCTCCACCAGCAGTGGAGTAGGGTTCCCTTTTCCCCGCATCCTCGCCAGCAAGCGTCGTTGGTGTTCTTGTTTATGTGGGCCAATCTTACTGGTGTTAGGTGGTACCTCATCGATGTTTTAATTTGTATTTCCCTTATTGCTAGGGAGCTGGAACATTTTTTCATATGTTTGTTTGCCATTTGGACTTGTTCCTTTGTGAAATGTTTGCCCATTTCCCGTGCCCATTTCTTGAGTGGTTTGTTTGTTTTGGTTTTTTGGTTGTTTTGAAGTTCTTTGTATATCCTGGAAATTAGCCCCCTATCGCCTATATCGTGTGCAAAGATCTTCTCCCACTCTGTGGGTTGCTTTTTTACTTTGTTGATTGTTTCCCTTGCTGTACAGAAGCTTCTTAGTTTGATGAGGTCCCATTTGTTTATTCTGTTCTCAACTGCTATTGCTTTTGGTGTCCTTCTTAGAAAGTCGGAACCTACTCCTAGGTCTTGCAGGGTATTTCCTACATTTTCCTGCAAGAGTTTGAAGGTTTCTGGATGTAGGTTTAGGTCTTTTATCCATGTAGATTGGATCTTAGTGTATGGTGATAGATGTGGGTCTATCTTTTTGTTTCTACAGGCTATCAGCCAGTTGTCCCAACAACATTTACTAAAGAGTCCTTCCCACTTGCTTGAGTTGTCATTGGTCTTTTTGTCAAAGATTAATTGGCTGTATTTGTGTGGGTTCCCTTTTGGTGCTTCTATTCTATTCCATTGATCTTCCTTTCTGTCTTTGTGCCAGTACCAGGCTGTTTTGATAACCACTGCTCTATAGTATGTCCAGAGGTCCGGGATTGTGATTCCCCCTGCTAACTTCTTATTTTTCAGGATGGTTCTAGCTATTCGTGGTTTTTTGTGTTTCCAGATGAACTCTTGAATCATTGTATCCAGTTCCGTGAAGAATGTTTTGGGCAATTTGATTGGAATTGCGTTGAAAATGTATATTGCTTGTGGTAGTATAGACATTTTAATGATATTGATTTTGCCTATCCAGGAGCACGGGATGTTATTCCATCTTTTGAGGTTTTGTTCAATTTCCTTTTTAAATAGTTTGTAGTTTTCTTCGAATAGGTCTCCTACGCTTTTGGTTAAATTTATTCCCAAATACTTCATACTTCTCTCTGCTATTTTGAATGGTATCCTGTTGGTTAGATCTTCTTCCATCTTGGTGTTATTTGCGTACACTATGGCTGTTGATTTTCGTTCATTAATTTTGTACCCCGCCACTCTGCCAAACTCTCGTATAAGTTCTAGCAGTTTCTGTATTGAGTCTCCTGGTTTTTCTATGTACAGGATTATGTCATCTGCATATAGTGAAAGCTTGACTTCTTCGTTTCCTATACGTATGCCTTTGATTTCTTTTTCTTGTCTTATGGCCTCTGCAAGTACCTCTAGGACTATGTTGAATAGCAGTGGTGATAGCGGGCACCCTTGTCTTGTTCCAGATCGCAGTGGGAAGGGTTCTAGCTTTTCTCCATTCAGTATGATACTGGCATTGGGTTTTTCATAAATTGCTTTGATTATGTTGTGGATTTTCCCATCTATGCCTACTTTGGCTAGAGTTTTTAGCATGAAGAGGTGTTGGATTTTGTCGAAAGCTTTTTCTGCATCTATTGAAACTATTATGTGGTTCTTGTTTTGCAGTTTTTGGATGTGGTTTATAACATTTATGGATTTCCGAATGTTGAACCATCCCTGCATTCCAGGGATGAATCCTACTTGATCCGGATGAATGATCTGTCTGATGATTTTTTGAATTCTATTGGCTAGGATTTTGTTGAGAATTTTAGCATCAATGTTCATCAGAGAAATAGGTCTGTAGTTTTCCTTCTCTGATGGTTCTCTGTCCGGTTTTGGGATTAAGGTGATGTTAGCTTCATAGAATGAGTTTGGGAGGGTTGCTTCCTCCTCTATTGTTTTGAAGAGCTTGTAGAGGATTGGGGTTAGTTCTGTTCGGAATGTTTTGTAGAATTCTGTAGTGAAGCCGTCTGGGCCTGGGCTTTTTTTCGTTGGGAGATCTTTGATGACTGTTTCAATCTCTACCTCGGTTATGGGTTTATTCAATTCTGCAGTTGCCTCCGGACTGAGTTTTGGTAAGTGGTGGGAGTCCAAGAACTTTTCTATTTCTTGGAGGTCCTCAAATTTGTGGGAGTACAGTTCTTTGTAGTAATTTCTAATTATTTTCTTAATGATTGCAGTGTCTGTTGTTATGTTGCCTTTTTCATCTTTAATGCTATTGATTCTCACTTTCTCTTGTTTTTTTTTGGTCAATCGGGCCAGTGGAGTGTCTATTTTGTTTATTTTCTCAAAAAACCAACTTTTTGATTATCTGAATTTTGCTGATAAGATGTATTGCAAAATAGTTTTTCCAGCTTGACTCAAGGTAGTTTATGTAGCAAGCCAGGCAGCTATCAGAACGTAATCATTCTAATAAGGAACTAAAAAAACTAATCAAATTCTTTGGTCTAATAAAGGAAGGCTTTTAGTGGTTATAATGATTATGTCACTGTAGAAAATGATTAGAAAAAAATAGATTCTTTCTTATCAATGTTAACATAAAGTACAGAAAGTAGTTAATATTGCATTTCAGAAGAAAAAGAAATGGAAATCAGAAAAATGTCAAAATTTTTTGAGAACTGGCAGTAAGTCTGATTAAACCTCACAAGAAATGCTTCAGAGAGGTTTCCTGTGCATAGGACTCAATATATGTAAGCCATATATTGCTTTATTGTGTGTGTGTAAACAGAAAGTTTTAGGTTAAAAAAATTCTTTTCTGAGTCAATCTGTGCTTTTGTGAGTAATATCATAATATTCTGGGCTCAACTGGACATGACAAGGTAGTGTCCAAATTATCCCAGCAGACCACAAAGGAGTCTGTTTCACCATCAATTGTACAGTGGCAAGGATATAATAGACATCTAAATAGAACACTAAATGGAACCCACGAAAAAGTGCAGATCTACCGTGTGAGAAATAATTGAAGAAGAAAGATGCACTTAACAGTGTAGCAGTGAAATTTGGAACAATCACATACATAGAAATTATCAGGGAATCTATAAATAATAAACATCTGAGCTGAGTGTGGCTGATGTATTTTGAGGTCAATATATCAAAAGACATTGTGTTTTCTGCATTTAAGCAACAAGCAATTGAAAAACAAAATTTGAAAAACAATATTATTTACAATTCTATTTTTAAAGTGAGTTTCTATAAATCAATCCAGGGGCAAGCATTTGTCGTAGTGGTTATTCACTGCTTGGGATGCCTGGGTTCAAATCATGGCTCTACACCTTCTCCTTTCCCACCCCTCAAACTAGCTTCTTGCTAATGTATACCATGAGAGGTTTGAGTTACAGGTTTTGGGCTTTGGTCTCCGCTAGCCCAGCCCCAGCTGTTATACGCATTGGAGGAGTACATCAATGGATTCAAGACTTCTTTACGAATGTATCTATCTCTTGTCTCTGTCTCTGCCTTTCAAATAATTTTTTTTTCATTTCTCGAACTCAATTGGATATGACTCAACAAACATAAATTGAGAATCAACTTTACACAAAACAATGCAAAGGAAAGCATCTCCTGACAAAAGATTAGTTACTCCTCTTTGGAACACTTATGCTCACTCTAC